GATTAAGTTTGTTGGTACATTGGCCTTAAATATTGTTTGACTCGATTTCAAGTTCCAGTCCAAGAATCCTCTTGTTGTATGAATTATTTAGACTTCAACAACATAAATGAGCTCTAAACTTTATTTTTCCTGAGGTGATATCTTCAAATTTCGGAAGTTATCAGGTTGACGTAGTTGTCAACTTATGCTGAAAAACCTATAGAATTTCACTTATTGAAAAACGGAAAATAATATAATCACCGATTATAGTGTATCGAATTTGTGCATTGGATGACGTAATAAAATCTTGATTATTGATCAATTTTAACTTAATATTAATTAACAGTTAGAATTTTATCACGTTACTTGACGTACTATCGTCGGTGGCTTCAGCATTGAAAAACTAGAAACAAGTTACACAGCAGAAGCAATAAATGACGAGTTCATCTTATATGATTGGACAACATGGATCGTTTTGGGTAGGGTTTATGTTAATTTCATTAATCTTTGGGAATAAACACCATTGAGAAAGATGCAATAGAGAAAATGTAAAAGAATTCAAAAAAGGGTAGCCAAAGCCATTCTACCTTTTTGACCTCCAATTCCATTCAAAAAAATTTGTTCCAAGTGAGCAAACTACGCAGGAACAAGGAATTTCTTTTATTTCCCATTTCACTCTCCTTTTAACATGTTATATATTTGACGTATGTATATGTAGCTAATCATATTGTGTCATCAACAAAGCTACGGACACCGAATATTTTGAACTGAAAATATGTACCAGCCTATATGTACCCAGGTATCTGATTTTTTTATCAATTTTTTTTTAGTGAACGGCCGTTCACTCACATGGACTTTCATTCATATTTGATAGACAGGGGCCCATTGACTACGGATAGGCGTCTCCATTTAAAAGACACCCATCCATAAGTAAAATGGAATAAATTTTTTTTATAAAAATTAGAGACGGCCGTTCATCCGTTATGGACGGCCATCCCTTCATTTTGGACAGACACCCGCAAATAAAGGACGCCTATCCTTAACCAAAATATAAAAAAAAAAAATTTGGAGACGGCCGTCCATACTTCCCTTACATTTGGACGGTCGTCCATTAGGTACTTTAAAAAAAAAAAAAAAAACCACCTTCTTCCTCGCTCTTCTTCTTCTTCGCCAAGCCAAAAACCACAGCAAGATCTCTCACAACATAGCTCATTGATCTCCATGGATTCTTAACCCAACAATGCTTAGGAATAACCGCTCTAATATCAGATAATTTAAAGGATGAGGCGCAGCAGGGTCAAACTCACCACCATCTTCTTCTTCTCTAACTCCATTTTTTTTAAGAAATCATTTAAATGTGCTCTGGAATCCTAATTTGATTCTTTCCAAACTCCCATCTCAGAGTTCAACCCCAAGAAGCTGGGCGTGTGTGTTGTGTGCAGACGTAGTTTCCTTTCAGGACGTGCTAACACAAACCCATTTTTCTTCTTGAGAATCTGAAGTTCGTCCTTTGTCAATCTTGCTGCGAAACCATCAATAACATTTTTGTACGAATAAACCATGCGTTGTGGCACGTTTGTGTTTGTTCTTGTAGTGCTAAGTGGCAGAAAAGATTTGTGCCAGTTCTCTAGATCTTCTGATTGTGCAAGAAGTTTGCCTTCCGGCTGCTTCACATGGACAATGTAAGTTTGCAAAGTGTTCCTTTCAGTTCCTTGAGCAATGCTGAGATGAAAGTTGAACAAGAGAATGAGAAAAATGACACTCATCTTTGATGGAAAAGTACTGCTCTTCATGAAGAAAAAGGTTGATTGGAAGAAGATTCGAAGATGAGTCAGTCCAGAGAGATATGCAGTTATGACCTTTCAAGGTCGTTGCTACTGATGATGGAAAGCCAATGATTCTGATTAACAACAAAGGTGAAGAGAAGCAGTTGGCTCCTGAGTTTGTCTCTTCTATGGTAATTTCCAAGATGCGGCAAGTTGCCGAAGATTATCATGGTACAACGGTGAAGAAAGCAGCTATCACTGTTCCTGCTTATTTCAATGACTCCCAACGTCAAGCCACAAAGGTTGCTGGTGAAATAGCTGGACTAAATGTTATGAAAATCATCAATGAACCCACTGCTGCAGCCATTGCTTATGGTCTCGACAAGAAGGACTCCAGTTATGGGGAAAGAAGTATATTGATTTTTGATCTCGGTGGGGGCCATTTGATGTCTTTGCTTACCATTGATAATGATACCTTTAAGTGAAGGCACCGTTGGAGACACCCTCTGGCGGTGGAGATTTGATAACAACGTAGTAAATCACTTTGTAAAGGAGTTTAAGCGAAAGTACAACAAGCTCCTTAACACCATCAAGCTCGAGGATTTCCACTAATATCTGTGGTTTTTGGCTTGGCGAAGAGAAGAGAAAAGAAGAGCGAAGAAATGTGGTTTTTTTTTTTTTTTTTTTTTTTTGACGGCCATCCCCCAATTTTTTTTTTTTTTTTTTTTTTATTTTCTAGGATAAGATATACGTCCTGTGGGTGTCCGTCTAAATGAAGAGACGTCCATAACGATGAATGGCTATCTCTAATTTTATAAAAAAAATTATTTTATTTTTATGGATGGTATCCTTTAAATGAAAATGTTTATCTATAGTCAATAGACTATATTAATCAATTGAACAGAAATCTATATGAGTGATGACCATCTATCACTAAAAAAAATTGATAAAAAAATCAGCAATAAGCTAGGGACACCGAAAAATCTACACCGAAAATGTGTACCGGCCTACGTGTAACGCGTCTCTGAATTTTTTTATAATTTTTTTCTAGTGAACGGCGTCCATCAAATTTGGACGACCGTTCACTCACATGGACGTCCGTCTTCATATATATGGACGTGCGCATATACAAGGGACGGGCGTCCCCATTTAAAGGACGCCCGTCCCTCATTAAAATACAATAAAAAAAATTATACATTAGGGACGGCCGTTCATCCGTTATGACGGTCGTCCCTTTGTTTTGGACGGGCGTCCGAAAATAAGGGACGCCCGTCCTTAACCAAAATATAAAAAAATAAAAAATAAAAACTTTGGGACGGCCGTCCATAAATTTTGGACGGCCGTCCCTTGCGTTTGGACTGGCGTCCATTACGAATGGACGCCAGTCATTAGTTTGGACGGGCGTCCATTAGAAATGGACGCCCCTCCATACTTAAAAAAAAATTAAAAAAAAAAAATCGTGCTTCTTGACCCATTCCTAACTAATTATGTCTGAAGTTGTTTACCCATACCAAGCACATATTCATGATGCTTGAAGAGACGAAATATTGAGAACAAAACTGTGCTTCTTGACCCCTCTGTTTTGCATTCTCCAGCACTCAAAAGCTGCTATGACTGCTAGCTGATCACTCTGCCCACATACAAATGAAGCAAGCTCAAATTTAGCAGCAGTTGCTCTCTATTTTCATTTGATAACATAGGAAGGGTAAACAGAATCCCTATAGTCAAAAGCACATGCAAGTGTCAAAGTTGTCTAGACAGTTCATCATTATGGCAAAGAAAAGCATCTTGCTCATTAATGGATGAACGGAAAGAGAGCAAAGTTGGGTCTGTTCTGGGCTGAGAGCAAAATGAAAATGGCAGAGAAGCTATGCAAAGTTGGTATTGTATCTGTGGGACGACAAGGTTAGCTGCTGGAGATGGTGGCCAGAGTGCAATACGCGTCCGTTGGGCTGGGATGAGGGTTTCTTCCAGCTCGAAGCTGTTTGGAAGAGGACTGCAAGTGGTTTAGAAGACGAAGAAGAAGAGCGAAGAAGAAGAGGTTTAGCCTTCTTTTTTTTTTTTTTCTTTTTTTTTTTTTTTTTTAAGTATGGACGCCCACCAAACATAATGGACGGGCGTCATTCATAATGGACGTGAATGGACGCCCGTCCATTATGAATGGACGCCCGTCCAAACTAAGAGACGGGGTCCATTCATAATGGACGGGCGTCCCAAATATTTATAAAATTTTTATTTATGGACGGCGTCATTACATGGGGACGCCCTCCCTGTATATGGACGCCCGTCCATATAATATGGACGGGCGTCCATGTGAGTGAACGGTCGTCCAAATTTAATGGACGGCCGTTCACTAGAAAAAAATTGTTAAAAAAATTAGAAACGCATTACACGTAGACCGGTACAAAATTTCGGTGCAGGTTTTTCGGTGTCCCTAGCATTATTGAAAAATCAGACGCCTGAATATACATAGGTCGATACTGATACACATTTTCGGTGTAAAATATCATAATAACGTGTGGGATTGAAGATATGCATTGGATCATTCACTATTGCTTTGCTTGGCAGACTAAATAAAGTCTTTATCAGACGTCTCCACTTCTTTTTGTTGGAAATTTTTAATGTGTGGATCCATCACTACCGACTTTAGTATATTTTTCTAGCTGACGTGCCCATCAATTGGCCACCATGTTTGCTCTCGATGTGATTTCTCTGAATGTGATTTCTTTTACCTCTACAGAAAGAGTAAGTTTATGTACTAACAGTTGTATGTGAGTATAACCAACAAATTATGATGCTAGTATACAATTTTAATCTTTAAAAAAATATTAATCGACAAATTTTTGCATACAGAACAATATGACACGGGGGAATTTTATCTACTTTAAACTCTTTAAATTTTCACTATTTTCAATGTCTTTCTCCATCTCTCTTAGTATTTAGAATCATCATAATAACTAAAAAAACCTCTGCTTTGAAGAACATGTATTATTGTTAATTTGTTATGAATAACATTGATTATGAATTGTTTCAAAGTCACCAAAAAAAAAAATATTATGATAGATATTCTATTAAAAAAGAAGAAAGAAAAATTCCCTCACTATTTATGCCTCCGATGGCAAACAATAAACAGATAGTGTGATTAAAAAAAGTGAATTCATTTCAATAAGAATAATATTATATTAGTTTATATGTATAATACTACTCCTAATTAAAAAAAGCAAGATATTTTATAGACAATGTATACTGTTATAGATATTTAATTTATCAACCATCAATCTTTAATCACATAAAGAAAAGCAAGATATTTTATAGACAATGTAACCAGCAATCTTTTAATCACATAAAAGAAAAGCAAGATATTATATAGACAATGTATACTGTTATAGATATTTAATTTATCAACCATCAAATCTTAATCACATAAAGAAATAGACAATGTATACTGTTATAGATATTTAATTTATCAAACCATCAATCTTTTATAAAAACACATAAAGAATTGGCATTTGTTACTGTTTTATATTGTTATAGATATTTCCACTTGCCCATAATCAATGGCCCAGAGGTAGGCAGGGACCCGTCCCAGGCCCGGGCAAGTGGAAATATCTATAACAGTATACAACAGTAACAAATGCCAATTCTTTATGTGATTAAGACTGGGCCTGCTTGGGACTGGTCCCAAATGGGACCACTCACTCATGAAAAAAATCAGGACCTAAACCAAGCCCAAGGCCTGGTTGGGACCGATCCTGGGACTTGGATAACTTTTTTACTCTCTGATCTTTTTTTCTTTTGTATTTTAGGGGTGAAATAAAATTTTGTAGGGGGTTTTTAGTATTTTTCAGGGGTTGATTAATAAGTTTTTAAAAATTTAATTAATTTGAAAAAATAATAAATTAATAGTTAATTTTAATTTTTAACATAAATGTAATATTTACATTTCACACATTCACGCTTCACAAATAAACAATTAAATAATTTTTTTAATTAAATTATTCATCTTCAATTTTATCATTAACACTAGTTATATCATTCAAATCTGTATTCCTAAAGAGTTCGAGATCTTCAGGGTGCTGTTGTAGTTTTCTTTCTGCATGAGTCCAATCCCGTAGACACGTTATCACTTCAATCATCTCATCGGTTAAAGAACATCTTCTGTCTTCAACAATCCGATCACTCTTTGAAAATGTTGACTCGGATGCAATTGTAGAAACCGGCACAGATAAAATGTCAAGTGCCATTTGGGATACAATGGAGAATCGACTTTCATGTTGGTTCCACCATTGAAGAATATCCATGTTATGTTGCTCCTTCATCATCATAAAGATCAGGTCCACCTGTAGGTAGTGAGGAGAAAATGAAAAAAAAGAAGTTAAAATTAATATTTATAACCGTTGGTTGGCATGTGATCGTTGCCAGCCAATGGTTAAAAAAAAATATATAACCGTTATAAAAACATTTTTTTTTTTTTAAATTTTGTAAAAAAATTTTTAACCCTTGTAATTTATATTTACTTTAAATTAATAGGGGGTTTTATGTAATTTGTCAAGGGACTATATTAAAAAAATAAAAAAATTTTGGGCCCAGACTGGGGACCGGTCCCAGGCCCGGGCCCTCCTCCTTAGGCCTGGTCCTATTTTGGGACCAGGCCTCCTAGGTCTGGTCCTCGGGCTGGGCTTTTGGGCCCCTAATTAAGGTTGCATTTGGATATAAGATTAATCCTGTAATCTTTGTTTAACTTTCAAGATTCCTCGTTTGATTGTCAAGTAATAAAATGTTACGTAATCTTTTATTGCAAATAGTGTTTACTGCTCGTAATATTGGGAGTAAGCAGATTACCTTCCCAAGAGGTGTTAATATAAGATTAGAGAGCCAATCTTTTATCATTTCGGACACATTTGCCCTCATATGTCTACCAAATAACAATTGCCCAAACCCCCCAACATTTGAGAATTTAGCTAAAACACTCCCGCTACAAAAAAGTTTAAAAATTAACAAAATACTCCCAACCACCCAAGACCATTGTCGATTGTTAGCCACAACCACTGGCCGCCAGTGAAAGTCGTCATATTAGCACAAGACCGACGGGATGTTGCCGATCGTGTATCAGTAAGGACGTTTTTGGCCAAGGATTTGTGATCCATGGCTGAAAATGACCAGATCTTACTATTTCACAGCCAAAGATGTGGCCGTGAAACGCCATAGATCTGGCCATGAAAAGGCCAGACCTTTGGCCGTGAAATGGCCTCCGTTTCATGGCCAAAGATCCGGCCTTTTCATGGCCACATCTTTGGTCGTGAAACGGAGGCTATTTCACGGCCATATCTAGCCGTGAAACGATCATATTCATAGCTAAATCTGGCTGGATTAGGCCTTACCAATGCACAACCAGCCAGTTCCAGCTGGTCGTGCGCCATTACGGCTGCTATCGGCGGTGGTGGCTGGCTATCGATGGTGGCTTCGGATGGGTGAGGGTGATTTT